TCGAGACGACGACGACGGCGTCCTTGGCCACCTCGGGGCGCGCAAATCTTCCATTAACATGCGCCATGGCCGTGAGCGGCCCGTGAGCGGCCCGTGAGGGGGCTTACCGCCATGGTCATGGCGGATTGGGCTTACGGTGGAGGGCACGCCTCGGCGCCTCGGCCACGCACGGCGAGAGTGGTCCTGGAGAACCAAGCAGAGCGTTCAGCCAAAATGGCGGGTACACTGGTGCTTCCCCCGACGTACTGTTGCAACGCGGCGTGGCCGCCCCTCGAAATGCCGCTGTCCGACCGGATTCGCCGTTCTGACCGGTCCGGTCGCTTCGATGACGGCCCGCCGAGCCCTTTGGCTGCCCCTTGGCTGAGCCACTGGAGGAACAATGTTTTTCCTGATTACGCTGCTGTCCTTGCAACTAGCCTGGCTGCCCCGTGGCCCCTCCCCCCCCCCCCCCCCTTCGCAGATTGTATCCTCGCGCTAACTTCGGCCGCGCCTCGCGCTGTGCGCAGCTGGGAGTAATTTATGGCTTTCGATGTCCTCGGGTCTCCGCTGCCCCCCCCCTCTCTCTCGCTCTCTCCCGACGGCGGGCCGGTGATAATGCAACAAGGAAAACCGTAACAAGCCTGGCAAGTGGTATTTACACGTAAAAATTAAAAAAAAAATCACAATTTTTTTCTGTGACCACACAACAACGCGGAAAAATTGAAAAGGAGGAAAGAAAAAGATACAAAAAATAGAGAAGGAAAAACGTGTTTCGCACACAAGAAGCAGAGCATAATATCCGCAACAAAGTGTCAAAACGTGGACGTGCATGCGGTCTGCCTTGAACGGGGTTGTGTGCCATGCCATACACCCGCTGGGAGAGAGAGAGAGAGAGAGAGAGAGAGAGAGAGAGAGAGAGAGAGAGAGAGAGAGAGAGAGAGAGAGAGAGAGAGATGGAAAATAATAAAAGGGGTGGGGGAAAACACTCAGCCCGATAACTGAGGGGCGAGGCCCGCCTCCTGATATCTTTGCCCGATTTACTCCCGCGAGAGCAGGGAGAGAAATAAAGAAATAAATAAATAAAGCGCCACTTTTTATTCCCACTTATGTGGCGAGGGAGGCGGATATCGGCGCGGCGCTCAAATCGCTCGGAATGGAACGTTTTAGCTTCAGCCTGAGGGCGCATCGAGGCAGGTTAGGTTAGGTTGAGTGAAGTTAGGCTAGCAAAGTGGGCCAGAAGACCGAAAGGCTAGTGCCCGTTTTTCCGGTCTCTCTCTCTCCCCCCCCTCTCTCTCTCTCTCTGATTATTCCGCTTCGGCCCTCGTCGTGTTCCTCGAGACACCTGAGCCAGCAGAGCGAGCCGAGCCGATTCCGGGAAGCACGTCAAACAGAAGGGTCGCCTTTTTTCCCTTTTTTTTACAGGACTTCTTTTTTTTTGAGAAAGCGGTGTCACTTGGGTGTCACTGGGGCTGCTTGTTCATCAGTAGTCGATGGTGGTGGCGCTAGCCTTTGCAGTGGTGCTGCGGCCACGTGCTCGACGCCGCGTCAACCCCTTCCCCGCCCCGCCCCGCCTCCAGGCTCGAGGAGAAGGCCATGATTCATTCATGATGCGTATTACTTCCCAGGGTAACCACTCGGGAAAAGGAACGCACAGCCGAAATCGTGAATTGTGTGAAGAAGACGAAGCGGGCAGGATGAGGATGAGAGAGAGGGGGAGAGGAGAGAGAGAGAGAGAGAGAGAGAGAGAGAGAGAGAGAGAGAGAGAGAGAGAGAGAGAGAAAGACAAAAGGAAACGAGGAGAACATTTGTGTGCGCGCGGCCCGCTCCCGGCCCACGCGGTACGCGGGTAGGTCGCGGGATTTTGGATCTTCTTATTGACGTCCCCCCTCTGGGGAAATAGAGCGGCCTCACCGGACGGGTTGGAAGGGAAGGGTCGGACGGGTCGGAGGAACGGGTCGGAGGAACGGGTACGGCGGAATGAGACCCACCTCAAGCTCATCGCCTTCCTCCTCGACAACGCGGTCCCCATCTAGAAGTACGTGGGCTACGTGACGACGAGCCGCAAAGAAAATAAGGCGCTTGAAAAAAATAGAAAAAGTATAACGAAGAGAAATGCAACGCGGCGGAGGCGGCGGCCGGAATCGAACCCGAGCCGGCCGCCTGCGAAGCGTGGCGTAGGCCGGCCCGCTGTACGCCGCTGCAGTGCGCGTTGCCTACCCTCGACTCTGCGGGCGCTCCGTGCCCGCGTGGCCGCGTCCCCCTCCCGGACTCTGTCCCTAGTCCAACCTTTCTCGGCTCGCGACCCCAAATTTGGAGCCAAAAATTTCCGCGACCCCCAGGAAAAGTTTCACGACCCCACGGGACCCCTCCTTTAGCATGCCACTGCGTCTGATCCGAGGCGGGCATTTTGCTCCCTCAACGGGCAATTGGTCTTTGGACTTTCCTTTAGCATGCCTCTGTTACGGAGTGCGATTATCAGTCTTAGTTTGGGGGCAGTATTGTCTCAAAGTTGGCCAAAACGCTCAGAAATGTCTTTGAAAAATCATGTTTTGGGTCGATTTTAAGCAGCCACTGCGTCTGATCCGAGCCGGGCATTTTGCTCCCTCAACGGGCAATTGTTCTTTGGACCTTCCTTTAGCATGCCTCTGTTACGGAATGCGATTATCAGTCTTAGTTTGGGAGCAGTATTGTCTCAAAGTTGGCCAAAACAGTCACAACGGTTTTTCAAAGACATTTCTGAGCGTTTCGGCCAACTTTGAGACAATACTGCTCCCAAACTAAGACCGATAATCACACTCCGTAACAAAGGCATGCTAAAGGAAGGTCCAAAGACCAATTGCCCGTTGAAGGAGGACGAAATACCGCCTCGGGTCAGACGCAGTGGCTGCTTAAAATCGACCCCAAAACACGAATTTTCAAAGACATTTCTGAGCGTTTCGGCCAACTTTGAGACAATACTGCTCCCAAACTAAGACCGATAATCACACTCCGTAACAAAGGCATGCTAAAGGAAGGTCCAAAGACCAATTGCCCGTTGAAGGAGGACGAAATACCGCCTCGGGTCAGACGCAGTGGCTGCTTAAAATCGGCCCAAAACACGATTTTTCAAAGACATTTCTGACCGTTTTGGTAAACTTTGAGACAATACTGCTCCCAAACTAAGACTGATAATCAAACTCCGTAACAAAGGCATGCTAAAGGAAGGTTCAAAGACCAATTGCCCGTTGAGGGAGCAAAATGCCCGCCTCGGATCAGACGCAGTGGCTGCTTAAAATCGGCCCAAAACACGACCCCAGCTACCTCGCCGCGACCCCTTAAAATTTTTTCGCGACCCCACTTGGGGTCTGCCCTAGTCGAGCAGGCGGTGATGTCACTCCGTTATTGGAAGAGTTTCCTCCTTGAAGAATGCCTGCTCGACGTTTTTCCCCCACCCCGCGGTCCTCGCTCCAGGTATCGGCGGGGTCTTTTGTCCCCCGCGTCTCATATCAGTTGGAAACAATGTCTAATAACATCGCTGCCCGGATCCGGGTTGCAATATCTCACAGCGCGGCTCGGGCAGCACGGCCAGCAACGCCACGGCATTCCACCGCATTCCACCGACAGTCAATAAAACAAGTTGGCCGCTTTCTGCCTTCTGGGGCTTTGGTTCGGACCGCGCGGGCACCGATTTGCCGATCCCACCCACAGTGGGCCGGAAGACCGGCGGAGGAGGCCAAAACTCTAGACGCGCTTTGAGCCCTAGAGTCACCAAACGGGTTGCGCTGCCTGAAAGCCCCAAAATCCCAAGTTTTTTTTGGAGGGGGGGGGGTTCCCGCCTTTGCACTCACCCAGGATCTTGACGACGTGGCCCTGGTTCTGGTCCTGGGCCGTGGACCGGATGCGGTGCCGCTTGGCCTCCTGCAGCTTGACGAAGATGCGCAGGTAGAGGATGGTGATGACGGTGAGCGGCGCCAGGAAGAAGACGACGGTGGAGATGAGGAAGGCGTGGCGCACGAAGAAGTGCTTGATGGTGCACTCGGACAGGTCCGGGGAGTCGGGGATGTCCTCGTTGGGGTTGACGATGCCGAACTGCATGGCCTGCGGCACGGCCAGCAGCAGCGACGCCACCCACACGCCGCCCAGCAGCACGGGGGCCTTGAAGACGCGCGACACCCAGAGCGCGCTGCGCCGCGCCTGCAGCTTCACCAGCGGGTGCACGATGGCGATGTAGCGCTCGCACGTGAAGAGCAGGATGGTGAGCACCGTGGCGTTGGCCGACGTCTCCGCCGACATGCTGCGGGCAGGCAGTGGGAGTCAGCGACAACAACAACAACAACAACAACAACAACAACAACAACAACAACAATAACAACAACAACAACAGGGGCACGAGAAACAGGTTTTTTTTTCACGAGTCCGGCGGCTGAGGCTGGTTGGCTTACCCCTGGATGACGCAGGTGGCCTCGTTGAAGGGGTAGGGGTAGGGAAACCAGATCTTGTGCAGCTCGAGCGGCAGCCCCGAGATGAGCAGCAGCAGGTCGGAGCAGGCCAGGCTGAACAGGTAGAAGTTGGTGGCGGTGCGCATCTGCCGGTTGCGTCCGATGACGATGCAGGTGCTGATGTTGCCCAGCAGGCCGAACACGAACACGATGACGTACATGGCGCTCAGGGGGATGATGATGTGGGGCGGGTCGCGCTCGTAGGCGGGCTCGTACCAGTGCAGCGAGTCGTTGGCGGTCGCGTTGTCGAAGGGCGGCAGTGTGGTGGCGGACCTGGCGGACGTCACGGAGGCCGAGGTCGCCGCCCCCGCCATAAGCTGCAAGGACAAACGTCTTCAGTCAGAACACTTTTTTTATAAGTTTTTTTTTTTTAATTTTTTTGTTAGGGTCGGGCAAGTGGGAGGTCGGACAAGTGAGCCGCACCGCACTGTAGGGCCTGGGGTTGGCCATGTGCAGCGTAGTGCATTTTCCGGCACCTGCTTTCCCTTCGCGGTCCTAACAGTGCATCGGGTCAGCCTCTCCCTCCACTGTTTGCCCTGTGGGTCCGCGCGATGGCCGAGTCAGTAATTGCAGCCACGGCCAGGCAGGCAGGGCCAGGCACCGCCATGTCACGCGCGGCTGTGCGCCCTCCCCTTGCCTTTCCTCGCCTTTCGACACGTCGACACGTCCGCTTTCGACATGGGTCGGGTGTTCCTTGACAGTTCGGTCTGGAGTTGGTCTTTCCTAAGCGGTACCGCCGCGCCCCGCCCCGCCGTGCTAGTCGCTTTCTTTCCCGACGTTGGCCAAATACGATTAGGGGCTAGGGCCCTTTCTAGGGGTGGCAGTGGGCCCGCTCTCCGGAGACGCGCAGGGCCGCGCCAGGCCGCCGAGCGCGCCGAGCGGAGCGGGCCTCCAGGCGAGCGGGCCCAAAAGGGCATTATTTTTAAAGCCATTGGCATTCCTGAGTCCCGTCCCACGGCGGTACAACCTCACCGCGGCGGGCGGGGCGGGGCGGGGCGGGCTGAGCCCCGCGACCCTGTCTGTATCCCCGACGAGGGACTTGGCAGTGTGCAGTGCGCTCTGGTCCCTCCAGTGTGGGAAACCACCAAAGTGACTGTCGGGGAACATGGCGTGCGTCAGGTCTCTTCCTTGTCCCTTTCTTCCGAGAGGCGGACCGCCCTGGCTTCGTTTTCCTTATTTCGCGAGTAAGTTTGCGCAGTCGGCGTGCGACGCCGCTCCGCCGATGAACGAACATCGGAGCCGCCGCCGCCTGATTCCGGAAGGTCCTTTCGTCGCTCTGTCTCTCTCACACCCCTACGGAAAGCCTCGCGAGTGCGAGAGAGACAGAGCGACGAAATGACGGCAGTGACGGCGTGCGAGTCCCCTCCTCCGGTCCTGCCCTTTGGTCCTTCGGCCGCCCCGTCCCTTGTCTTTGTTTTGCTCGTTGCGTAAAGTCGCGCACCCCGCGAGAGAAAAAAAAAAGAGAGAGAGACGTTTTTTGCCCTTAATTTGTTTTTCCTCTCCGCGGCTCTTTGACGGGACGCGATAGCGAGGCGATTGCGTCGCTGCACTAAAAATAAAAAAAAATTCGACAGTTCTTTTTTGTTTTTTAAGCAAACAGGGTGTTGGGAATGGTTGAAATTTTCCTGTTTGGCGCCCTCGTCTCGGCAGTGGCTGCATCGCCCGCGCCTCGCGCTCCGCCCGCTTTCTCGATTGTAAACTAGTAGGAAAGTATACGTCCCGGGGCGGAGCGGGGAGCGTGTGGCCGAGGCGCCGAGGCACAACGCGCGGCAGAGCGGCGGAGCGTCGCCAGCCGTCTCACTCGGGGGCTCGCTCTCCGTCGCTCCGTCTCTCTCGCTCTCACGGGGCGACCCCTAGCGGTGTGGTGGAGACGGAGCGACGAAAGCGACTTCTCGGAATCGGTCCGCGCAGAAGGCCAGAAGCAATGTCTGTGAGGGAGCCGGAGGGAACTGGCTAACAAATCGCAATTTATTCGGGGCCCGCACTGCGCGAATTGAACTCACGGACTGGTCGCGCGTGCGTGCGTGTGTGCGTGTGTGTTTGTGTGTGTGTGTCCGTGTGTGCGTGTCTCCGTGTGCGCGCCTTGCCGCGCTGGCTGTGTGGGTGAGTGAGTGAGGTGGGAGGGGTATGCAAACGGTCCGGACTCAGTGAGTGTTTCCATTCAAACTTGCCCGGTACTTTGCACTCGGCGTCGGACGGTCGGACAGACGGACGTACTGACCGGACGTGGCAAACACGCAAGGGCGGATCCAGAGGGGGGGGGGAATCGGCCGCCTTGACCCTAGCCGCCTGCAAGGTAAGCAAAAAGCAACACTTTGTCCCTGTAAGCAGGCAAAAAGTGGTACTCCCCCTTCCGCCTCAGACATGATGTCCAGGCCGCACCTTCCCACCTCCCCCAAGAGGCGCCGAAGAGTCTCATCCCCGAAGCGGTGTTCAACTCGTCGTGACGTCAGTGTAGCCGAGCGACGAGCAGCCTCGCTTCCCAAGGCCGAAGACCTCGGTTCGATTCTCCGGAATCCATTAAATTTTGAAGCGGGTTCTCCGACTGCGATTCCGTCCCGGGGCGTCCCGGGCGCGCGGCTGGGGGCAATAAGGTAGCCGGTTCCCATCCGAACGCCGAAAGCAGCTCCGAAAGTTAAGCAGCCCCCTCTCCTCCCCCCCATTTACCGGAAAGCAAGAGCTCTATTTTTCTTGAAAAAAGATGACACGTCAAATTATCAGATTGCAGGAACTCTCGTTAAAAAGTTTGAAGTCCCGTCCGGGTCCGGTCCAGCGGCACAGCTTGTGCACTTTAATCTTACATCACCGAGCCGCCGAGCCGCGGGGGCGAGACGCGGCCCGCGAGGCACATCTACAACAAGTTGGAACGAATTACGAGACAAAGAAGTGCCCGCAGCTTCCTGGAATCCTGGAACCCGGAAATACAAGAATCCAAGAATCCAGGAATCCAGGCACTGGCCTCCGCGTTGATGCCAGTTCAAAATTAATATCACATTCCTTTCAGCTTGATTGTGTCACGTTCGTTTGAATGTGAATATCACGCAAAAATACAGAGTCGTTTTTCCTTCTTCCAGAGTGAGCTGTAGCGTTTCGTTACCCGTTCCGTTAGGAGGTCGTCTTCCTTCATACCGACGTCGGAGGGGCGGGGCTCGGACCCGTCTGCCACTCGGACTTAGACTCTGCGTCGCGCGGCCCCATTTTCGCATTCAGATTGATAGAGACGATCCCGTGGGACGTTTGGTCAGCAGTGCCGCCCCCTCCCCCTCCATCCCAGCCGCCCGATTCCGAGAGTCGTTTCCGTCGCTCTGCCTCTCTCTCACGCATGAGGCGTCCCCTTCCAGGTGCGAAAGAGACAGAGCGACGGAAAGGGCTCTCGGAATCAGTCTGCTGGTTTACGATTGGGGGTTCGCTTCGTCCCGCGACACGAATTTATTGCCTCGTTGGGCTGTCCGGCGCGACGGTACGCACCTTGTGCTTGCTGCACACATGCAGGGACGCGGGGCGCAGTGGTGGTTCGCGAAACAGTGCGCGAAACGCCGTTTCATTTAGAGCCACTTTGCACGCCGCGTAAGTGTGGGGAATCGGACAGAAAGCGGAAGTCTTGCCCCGCCCCGCCCCGCCCCGCCCCGCCCCGCCCCAAACAGACTGCAAAGTGGCATAATGGTGGTGAAGCACGGCGACGCACGGCCAAGCGGAGCGGGCCAAGGAAGGCTGTATTTTAGGGGCTTGTGTGCCTTGCGGGGCAGTGGGGCAGCGGGGCAGCGGGGGCCCAGTCGGCCAGTGGGGCAAGGGGGCGTAACTGTAGCAATCCCCCCTCCTCCCACCGGACGCGGCCACGCGGGTGGACCGGGGTTCGAGCAAGACACTACTGCACATGAAGGCAACACGGTTTATGGCCGAAGCTTGTGCCGCTCCTCGGGGACCCCGGGCGAGGGGAGGGGGAGGGGAGGGGGAGGGGAGAGGGGCTACTGTCATAAAAATAAGTGCCGAAGAGCGCGGAGACTGTGATTCCCGCGTCTTGAAGACCGGCGCCGTCATTGTAAGCAGAAAAAAAAATCTTTGAAAAAAGTTGCAAGCAAATTGATTTTCCAGCAAGGGCGCTTCAATTTACAACCGTTCAATTCAAGCGCCAAGCGAACGGTGCCGTTTTCACCAGCATAGGGGGACGCACGCTGTTAATTAACTAAAAGCGTTTGCCTTGGCAGTGTGGCGACAGACGGCCCGAGGTCGCTCGCCCGAGCTGAGCTGAGCGTCCTTTTATTTGTCTAGTTCTTCGTCCACATCAAAAGCGGCGCCGGAGGGGACGTCTTCGCGTGCCGTGAAGCGTGGACTAAAAAAAATAAATCTTTGGTCGCCTCACGGTAAAAGCGTCGCCTTGGAATCCAAAGCTGGATTTGAAGACGGGAAAGGTGATGCCTAAGGGCCTTGGGTCTTCCCTTCGCTTGGCAGTGGCTTTGCTCGGATTAATCGTTAATCGCGTGTGCTGGCGGTGCTGGCGCTCTGCTGCGCTGTGGCGGTGTTGTGTGCAACCAATGGGAACGCGGCGGACGCACGAGCTACCCATACGTTGACGCGCCAATTATTTCGAGTCTCGTTCCGAATTGGGTCATAGCCAAACTAGAGCAGCCAGCCAGCCAGCCGTGGCCGGACGGACGGGCAGGCAGGCGGCACGTGCTAGTTTGTCAACCCCTTCGTGGCCGCGAGTCGTTACCGGTGCGTTTTCATTACGAGCCGGGCGCCCTGCCCGAGGACGACGAGCACGACGACGAAGACGACGGCGAGGACGCTTTCTTACGTCGGGTGCAGAGCCGAACGTGCTGACGTCGCCGTCGACCTCTCTAATGACTCGACGGGGCGCTAACGGGGGAAGGGGGAGGTCCTTCTTTCTCGGACGGCGACTGTGCGTGCTGCCAGCAGCACACGGCGGCTCACAGTGGGCCAGAAGGCCGGCGGCGGCGGTCGGAATCAGACCTACAGGGCGCTGCGCAGAGCCAGCAGAGCTCGCCAATAAGGAGTACTTCCGTTATTGGAGAGACGCATGGACGCCCTCGCCGGCGGGGCTGCCGGGCCGGCGGCCCACTGCGGGGAGGTCGAGGCATTGTTTGTCCTCGGGGATTCGCAGCTTCGCAGCAGAACAAGGCTTGAGCCCCGCCACTGCGCGGTGGCGGTGGCCCGGGCCTCCTGCCCCTCACCGGGCTCGCGGGCCCTGGCGCCGGCTGAGCCGTTGTCCGGCGGACTGGCCGGGCCTCTGGAGGCCCCCGGACTTGCAGACTCCCGGAGTCTCTCTCGTTAGTAATGAGAAAGGGACAAGCAGGCA